TTTCTATCTAACAACCGAGTCCTTTCCAAGTCGTTATTATGATAGCACTTTTTACGGAAATTAAAAAGCCACAATTTCTGATTTTGAGTAACTACTAGAAAGCAGACATGGAATGCTAGAGCACGCACTAACGGGCCGAACCCCTCACAGCTGTGTCATTTATCGGCAGAATATCAGCGAAACCGTGTATATGGGCTTTTGTTTAGTACTTGTGATGTTAGTATGGGATCCTCTTAACCTAAGAGAATTAAACTTTGACGATTGAAACGCAAGTAGTTTTGAAGTTTATTCTTGGTTGTGACCATTCCGTCGGACCTCGTTTCGTAACCGTACTTACAGTTGACATGTCTCAGCCTAATCCCTAAGCCTAACCCCCAACCTCTAACTTTAACCCATAATGCCTAAGCCTAACCCTAACCCCAACCCCTAACCTTAATCCATGACAGGTGCGGCTACGAAATGAGATCTTGCCGCGAGATTCAATGAAAAATCAACAACTATTGCTCACCAAGTAAATACGAATTACGCATTAGGTTAATAAATGTTGCCGCCAGTTAAAACCTCCTGTTCCCATTTGAGAACACGTCGAAAAGTCAAGAAATAGTTCATGAGTGTCCACGACTACTGAATTATTGCCTTCCTCTTGGGAATTACATGACGACCGCGTAAAACGCAGACTTATCCCGGTAACATCTTTAATAAAGATATAGGGAGAATATACCTCCAACCGCAGGACGAATCGCCAACATAGAATTTCGTCACTTTAATCTCCCTCTAATGAGTCTAAGAAAATGTCTCTGGGAACGTACTGAGTGGTGTTTCTTTCGCTGGGACCATTGCGTTACCCCCAATTGCAACATGGTATTTTAACGAGACGAAATGCATTGCTTGGACGGTTTTACAACTTTTGGGAAACGCCCAACTGCAAAAATGGGGTATTTACTCGGATGCATTACGCTGTTGTAGTCAAATACGTGTCCGGCATTTTTGAGTCCCTATCGCAGCAGTTACTAAAACAAACTGAGAAACCTGCTATTTTGCCAGTTAGGCGTACTTCACAAAGTTGACAAAGCTCCAACCATGAAGATAACTCCTTGGCATAATCCTTTAGCCTGCATCCAGATTAGTTCAACTATCCTACTTTTCCTCGCTTTTCGAACCTGAGGCTCACCATCTACAGCTGCTCAGTTTTGAAGATCCAGAAAACTGTCTGCAAGAGTTTAGGGTTTTTCATCTCCGCAAAACGATGAAGTTTGCCATTTTTTATGCCACCCAGCGGACTGATGAGGAAGTGACCGAGAATGACGTCGAATGGTTCGTCCAGGCCGTCGAAGGCTGCAGTCTGCGAGAAGACGTACGTAATCAGGCTCTCATGAAGGCTCTAATTGAGGCTGAAAAACTTGCCCTACTCCCATACAGTTTCACCGTACTCATCGGACCAGCACTGCCTGCAGATTGCAACTTTGTTTTCGACTGGATCAGACAGGGCGATGTTGCAGACCTCATTGGTCTCTACCAAATTCAATATAACTGTCGTATGAATGGGTTGGTTCAAACCTCTGTGCAAGTAAACATTTCGCATCCGCAGGAAAAATCGGCAATAGACATGGTGGCCCTCTCGATGACTATCCAGATTTCCACATTGCTATCATCCTTAAACGTGCTTCTGCGACACTACGGTTGGCAGAGAATTGCAATCTTCTATGAAGTAAGTCTGGAAAGCCTGCAGAATATACCACTGGCGGAACGTTTTCGGGGCTTTTTTTCTTACGTGTCAGTGGCTACGGAAACCCTGAACATTGTGGCCTTTCGAAGCCTTCGTTGGGGTTCGCAGCCAAGTTGGTATCTGCAAAATTTCACCAATCCCGTCGATGGTGAGTAAAGTTTGGTTCAGTAAATTAACAAAAGGTCATCGTGACAACACAACCTGCGGTTTATCGCAATTCCCGCCATGTATTCTAGCAGAATTAGGTTTTCTTTACTAGTCTTGTCCCCAAATAGAATGCATATATGTGACTAAACATTTACATCAAACCAGGCAACAGTCACATTTTATTTAACATGTGGGAATTAACTACAAGACATAATTTTCTCGAAAAATTGAAAAGGAATCTTTTTAAGAACCTATTACGCAGCGACTGATCGTCTGTTGCGCCCTTGTTGTAGAATACTCTCTCACGTGTGATACAGTTATCTGTGTGTTAGGGTTATATGTTAGTTTGTGGGCAAACGCCTTCTGACCATAAAGCTTTTAACTTGAATCGATCGTCCGCAGGTCAACAGAGCTCACTTCTGATGCCACTGAAAAAGCTCCAGGCTGTACAAGAGAGGGTTATTGGCGAAATGTTTTAAAAATTAGACTTCAAGAAGATTCCTCAAATCACGGCTGATTTGGTGAACTTTAATTACTTTCGCCGGTCGAACATGCACTCATGATTACGGAATTTCTTAGTTGCCCGGAGGACATAATAAAATCTGGGAATTGCCGTCATGCGTAGCTCCTGGACGTGTCTGTTTTCCACTACGATTAAATAGAAAGACGATCTAATAAAAGACGAGTTACTGCAAGACAACTGTGTACATTTCCCAGTGATACAAGGAGGATACGCAAAAAGGAGGAATGGAAAAAAGCATGTAGGTACTGACGCAACAGTGCTCGGAGATTTGTTTGTTTTGTTTAGAAGAAAACAGTGTGCTCCACGAAGTACGCTGTTGAATAACTGAAAGTCAGCTCTAACCTTAACGTTGTGCATTTTGGAAGGTCTTGAAGCCTATCACGGTGTCCGGTAAGATGTGGTTATGTAGCCCCACCTGATGGACATAATGCTGTTGAGGTTATGGCTAGGGATTAGGGTTAGGTTTGGGGATTAGAGTTAGGGGTTAGGACCACTATCTCTAAACCACTCAAAGTACAACCGCGCATTACCATGGGGCTCCGTGACGAGTCGTCAAAACGCAAGTGTACACAGTAAATGAATGAGATTTAAGCGCAAGATTGTTGTCAGACTAAAAAATCACAAAATCTGCTGACGAATTTTCAAATTCGGACGAATATGCGGTAGTGTCTGTAATATTAAAAGGAGAAAACTATCAGATCTAGACGGGAAATAGTAGATTCATCCCTGATAGTGCGGCACACATGCATCAACTTGCAAGCAATTAAAAACTTACCTTTATAACCGAACAAAGATAAGATGAGTCGTCATTGTCATTAAATAACTAGGTAATTCATCCCTAGTAAATGCATGTGCTAACAAAGCCCTTATCCCAGTACATACTCTACTCTGTTTTTTCTGGATCTGCCGATATTGATGATACTGGGTGTCGACGGAGTAGAGAGGCTGTTAGCCAGAATTCCATCGCCGGGTTCAGCTGATTTTGACTATTTGTAGGTTGTGAACCGACGTAACCAGTTGGTCGGTTGTCCCAGTTTTCATCTATGGAGTTCTTTAAATTCCACCTTTTGAGGTCAGGCCAAGTTAACTTACTCAGTAGCCAATATCATTGTGCAATCAAATGGTTGTAATAACTTGGGCAACTTATAGAACTACGATGGTGCACAAAGGAATATCGTTTGCATGTGAGCAATACACTTGAAGTGACTTTGAATGAAAAAGGCTTTCGAATCAAAAGGTCCCAAGCGATTTTCAGTCTTTTGGTTCTTCATGGGTACAGTCCGTCCTTACATCACACCCGTGAGGCCAATTTTCGTCCGCGGTCCCTAATGCGCTATGCTTTTGCACAACTCCAACGTTACATTTCGAATGCTGCTCAAAACATGTATTTTTGCTACACAATAAAGATGTGGATAGGCGTGTCTTTGGGTTACATACTACTCTGTAAGAACGCAGGCTCAGATGGGATCGAGATGTCTGAGAAGGATACGTTCTTCTAGACGCCATTGCATCTCCATTTTGAATGAAACCAACCTAGCGCTTACGTGCTCTTTTGTAGTTATCGGAGAATTAGATCGAATTTCAAGGCCAATGCCAAAGATCGCTCCGATCAAATGGGCTAAATAATTGTTAACGGTGAAGCCATGCTTGCCTGTGTACGAGTTGTCGTAGGGAATCGCCAGACCAAGCTCTAAAACCCCGACTCACAAATCTATTTCCTCACTGGGTAGTCGAGAAATTCCACGGGAAATTCTCGACTGTGTTTGTAAATAGCGATTTCTCTGGTGCACGCTCGATTTAGTATCTTTAAACTCACAACTGTGGTAAAAGTTTAAATTAAAACTACTACTAAAATAACATAAAGAGATTACTTTTCCTAGTCATAAAATATACGCAACATTTTGTAAAATACGGAGCAGGGAAGGGGGTTTTATTTTCAAAACTCTCTCCAGATACCAAGTGCCTTTTAGTGCATAGTTTTTATTTGATGATTTCATTTCAACCATCCTCTAATGCTTTATGTTAGGGCCTCAGCCACTTTCGAAATCGGCAGATTTAAGGCAATTTGCTCACGCCCTTCCCAAGCTTTTCTTCCTGGTTTTCATGGACAACGAGAACACAGTGGAAGGTTTTAAAATGTGCATTAAAAATAAGTCTTCCATTAAAATAGCTTAGTTGAGCGCCTGGTATTCAGGTTAGAGTAATTGAAACAACGTAGGCGTGATGGAAGGCGTTTGTAACTCTGAAGTACTCGATGGGACGCTATAGTTAGGAACACCTTCCATCCAGTCACGAAATCCATACACTGTGACTATCGCTGACTCCGAAGCAGTATCGAAGTAAATCAAATAATGGCGCAAACAGATATGTCATGTGTTTGCTGTCGAAAAGTCTAAGCTGCAAATTCCCCGGCCAAAAGATGTAGATTGCCACTTCTCCGGTAATGACAACCCAGTGCCTTTTACATGAAGACCTTTAACATGAAACACCTTTTGTACACGTGCTATAGCTACTTTCGGCAAAAACCACTGATTGTCCACTTCAGGGAAGCAGAGTATTTAAATGTAAACGCATCAACTACAGTTGGATTTGGGAGAGAATTATTGGAACGTGGGCATACTTAAAGTTTATTTGATGCATTTTAATTCACGAAAAACATGATTTCCTCATTTTTTCCTTTTATAGCCATTTTACTGATAGCCAGGCCACCAATAGCCGCTTTCTTCCTCTCTGCTGTCTCAAATATGGCACCAATTCGAGAGGGCCGCATCGCTATCATTCAACTCGACCCCTCCAGTGCTATAACTTACGATGTCCTACGCTTTTGGAGATTGGTACTGTCAAATTCGTCCGTCCTCGGAGCTGCCTGTCAGAGTCTTATCATTATGAGTGCCCTACCCTCCGGCATTGGATACGATGCTTCGTCAGGCATCTTAGATTCAGTAAGTGACAGTGCAAATCGAGTGAGACAAGTCTACGGCTGATTCATACGTTAGATCGGTGTCCGGTACAGTCAGCAGGGTTTCTACTTTCAAACTACCTCACTAAATCGAACCAGCCAAGACGGATACACATATTCGCACTCCGACTAATGAAAGGCATGCAGACATGAACTGAGTAATCAACGCTGTCGTTCCTGCTACCCCTTTGGATCAATGCTTGTAAAAGAACTGTTTAAAATTAATCTATTTTCCGACTGATTTTTGTGGTACACAGTTTAGGAGATACTACGTAAAGCGGATATGATCGAATCATTTTCCACGCTTTTATTCGCTCTCAGTGTCGTTGAACAGATAATAATAGATAGGTGACAAAAGTTAAAAACTCAGAAAATGAAACCAGTACTTCTCCGTTTTCATTTAACTCTCCGCCTATATTTCCAACGTGGATAACGGCCTCCGTCTCTGTTTAATCTACTTTCTCCCTACCTAAAGCTATATCGATTTAAGGTCATTGATAGTATCAGCTTGGCCGACACATTGGTCAACGACTGTGGCCAATTGAACTAGGTGCAACGAATCTTCTCCGGCCTTCCGACGTTGACGATTCCCCCACTGACTTATGGCCACCGGAAGTTTGTAAATCCGTCAGAAAGGTGCTACAGCCAAAGCAAAACGGTTTCAAGTTTTAATGGTGGGGCATTTTGAGGTTGAGGTTTTCACGTTATCCCGTAGAAATTGGTAGATAAGGCGTTATAAAGAACTAAATTGCTCAGGACTCTTGAGCGGAGGATCGAGAAACAAGGAATTTTAGATAACGTAGCGCTCGATTGTCGGTGAGTCTTTCAACAGAAATAATTTGATTTTAAACTGCTGCTTAACTAAACACCATCAATATGTATTGTATAAGTCGACAATGTACTTGTTATTTCGCAGAAGATAATGGTTTCGGCTGCATCAGCAGTCGCAATGGCAATCAGACTTACCTACCTGAACTTGAGGGCAAACGGCGGAGTTCTGCCGAAAGATGCGGATTTCTTCCAACCCTTGATGGATGAGCCCGTGGATGTCCCGGTGTTGCCCAACATTACCTACAGATTCTCAAGGGACGGGGACACCTTTTACGACTACTATGACTTCTACTTCTTCAGTCTGAGTCAGAAGATTTGCGATGGGAGTGCGAATTCCTCTCAAACGCCTTATGATGAGATTTTCGAACTCAACTCTGTTATTATGTGGCCTTTGACGCAACTGGTCGAGGTACAAACAAAGATTTGGCCAAACGGAAGTGATGGACCAAAACGAAATTACTGCCTACTAACAGGATGTCATGGCTGTATGTATTCAGTTTATTTCCTCCAGTGTTGAATCAAAGTACGTAATGTGTGTGTGTCCCCCAAACGGGCAGCGTGTTAGATGCGCTGGACCAACGGGGTGGCAACATCGGACACTGACAGGCGTTATCTTTGAACAATAACAAATGCCGACATTCACGGGGTGCGTTGGCAGACCCTGTTGTCGTAGTCGTCGCACGGCTGGGACCACTGCCACCACCCCATTTTTGGCGGTCAAAATCCTGGTCATTTTTGTGTGGACCAGGGGGTGCGGAGTGGAGCGCCAAGGTGAGGATCCGTCCAAGCTACCCACCTGCGTCCTCACTCGTCTTCGGTCTTCTTGGCTCTGTCTTGACACCAAACTCAGGCGGAGGAGGAGGAGGAGGAGAGAGTGTGGTAGATGCAGCGCAAGTCTACTGGCACTTGCTCCGACTTGCCCTTGCTCCGACTATCTGCTGTGGGGCATACGGTGGACATCGTCAGACACGACCGTCGAACAGTTGTGTGTGTGTGTGTGTGTGTGTGTCACAAATCGTGTAGCTGGACATACGAACTCCGACACTTTGTGGATTATCATGACATGCTGAAGTGTTGAGCGTGAGAAACTGCGAAATTGACAGGAAAGCCACCAGCCTTCGGCAGTGAGGATTAGGCTCCCATCACGTCAAGTGTTGCTATTATGACAACCGTCACCTTGTGATACCCGCACGTGATCGAAATTGACTAGGGTTTGGGTAGGGCCCCAGCATTTATGTGTCACGCGTAAACTGCGGGGTTGGCGCCGAGGCCAATGCACGCGAACACGTCTCCAGTCGGACTGGCGCGAACTCGCACCTGGTATACTTTGTACAAGGGGGCAGACATTGAGGCTGATCAAACCCTCCTTCCTCCTTATTATAAATTTCGATGCGACTGAAAAGTGTCCCTCCATAAACTGTGGTACAGCATGTTTGCTGGATGCACTTGCGGTCTGCGAAACAGCTGCAATGGCTGCCTGTCGCGATCCGCGATATCTGACGCATGTGCCTGGGAATCAGCGGGTGTTGTGTGAGTCGGTGACCGATTTCATGACATTTTGCTATTCTAAAGTACGATTTCAATTAGGAAGAATCACCTAGGTGGATTTAAATTACGAACTATCATGCGGCATAATCCCGTGATATTTCAGACACATTACCGCGACCTTTCAAACACATTAGGATATCGGCTTTTGAATGCACTCCCTTTTGCAGCCTGCCCAGATCATACTACTTAAATAGCGAGCATTTTTTGTTGACCTTTAATGCCATTTTATATTCAAATCTTTCATTTTGCCTCTGAGTGATCATTTCGGCGGCTTCAGTAAAGTGGTACCCACGCCACAAATCATTGGAAAAAATGCATGCTAGTGACGTAGTCGCTTTTTGGCCGAGTGCGGTTTCTGCTGGCCACTGATAAAAAATACCTTCAAAAGTCGACATCTTAGCGTGCTTGAAAGGTCACGGGATTATGCCACACGATAATCAGTAATTCAACCCCACCTAAGTAATCCTACCTAGTAATAAACGCGTTTCGGAATTCCGGCCAACATTTCATGAGGTTGGTAACTGATTGTGTACGCGGTTTCGACCAGTTGGTCATATCTTGCAGTTAGAAGGTGGTGCTTTGGAGGAAATAAGCTAGCTTACACGAACATCTCCCTAACGGTGTTAACCTCAAAGGCAAGTCACCACTGCATTCTCGAAGCATTGGAAAGCAGCATTAGTGACGGATGACGAACTGCCACAACGAGAAATCATCAAAAACGTACGTTTGTTCAACAGATTGATTTAAAGATTAGCATAATGGGTCCTCTACTAATTTCTAAGACACAGATGCCAGTAGTACCATATGTCGCGCGGTCCACCGTTGTCAGCCTTAAAAAACGTGCATACCGGATACCATGCTGACTGATAACTTGTACTAACTAT